GTACCTCTTGTTTCCTGAAGTGAGCTCAGACCTCCTGCACAGTGTGTAAGAAACAGGGGATAAACAAGGGGATAAATATTAAGTCCCACATCTGAAAGCCAACTTCACAAAAAATATGCAGTAAATGACACATGATAATGGGGAAGGAGTTGCCAGAGGCCTTAATGAATGGTGGTGAGCAGGGCTGGAAAAATAAATTATATAATAATCTCCGATTATATTCCCTTTGACATAAATTAACCTTGACCCGGAACAACAGTGCTCCTTTCCAAGGGAAAATAACCCAGTGCAGTTCATAATCATGAGTCAGGAGTCCAGTGCAAAGTGGTTTGTGTTTGCTCTTTGTTTTGTTAAAATTTTGCCTCATCTGGTGAATTTTGTGGAAAGGACGGGAAGAGGGAGAGCAGCTTCCAGGCAGAACTACCAGTTCCTGACTCTGGGTGGCTGGGAAGAAGCTGCTGAACCTCAACCAGAGGTACTGGCTTTTGGAAGCTCCAAAGAGCACGTGCAACACTCTGGAGGAGTGTTTCAACCAGTGGCACTGGTTGGTATCAGATGCTGTAGATAAAAGTAGGAGGAGCTGTAGGAAATTGGAATTCTGGTGTGAATTAACACACCCAGGAGAGAAGTTTCTTCCTGATCCTCATCAGTCAGGGGTTGCCTGACATGCCAGCACACACATCACCAGACATGCTCCTGTATTTTTATTTCTCTGCACCAAGAAACAAGCTCTGTCACTGCTTCACCTCCTCTGTGACACAGTTTCCTAATTAACTTCAGTCCTTCTACCTCCAGTTTAATCCCATGTTTTCCTGTCCTACCCACCACGCACCAGACTGTCCCTCTCTCAGACCGCAGTCTTTGTCTTTCAGAACTCTGTGTTTCCCAACTCCCTTTAGGGCTGGAACACCTCAGGTCATTTCCCTGCTTCCTTAAGTGCATGTTTTCTACATCTTCAGATCCTCTTCGAATTGCTCCATGTCTTCCTCAAAATGTGGTGCCCAACATGGAATAAAGAAACCCAGCCAAGGCCAGAGGAGTGTGGGAGGATTATTTCCCATGTCTTGTAGATTATATTCTATTTTATACAATCCGGATGTGTTTTTTTTTCCAACACCACATAAGTACTGAGACCCTCATACATTTTCCTACATTCCTTCCCTTTTTTTTTTTTTTCCTTTTTTTTTTAGACTATTTCCCCAATGTCTGCCAGTGCTCAAATCCAGGAGAGAAGAAGATGTTTTCTACTGCTGTTATAGATGGATGCTGCTGATGAATCAGCACGTGAAATTGGGTAATTAATGATCTTTGGAATAACCAGCTCCCTCCAGGTTTCAGTTTTACCTGAAGGGATGATGTGCCAGCAAAGGAGAAATGCAAGATACATTAAAATAATACAGCAATGGAGTAAATTTCAGGAAAAAGACTCAGCGTGCTATTTTTTCTTCATTAAACGTGATGAGCTCATAAAAACCCAATTAATTAGTCAGGATGATGTGAATGACTCGTCAGACCTAATTTTAGCAGCCTAAACTTAGCCAGCACTTCCACAACAGTCATCTCATCTCCTTCAGCAACAAATGGAGAGGGATGAACCTTTCCAGGATAAATGGAAATGCCTGCAGCTCCCTAAAAAGCCAGATTAGTGGGATGAGCTCCCCTGTGGGGACAGGGGAGTTCCAGTAACCACAGAGAGCCTCGACAGGCAGGCCAACACTGAATTTCTTTGCAGCTGAGGTCAGGTGAGATAAACCCCACCAACTCAGGAATAATTATTTTACATTAGCATGAAAATTAAACACCATGCAAATTAACTGTAATTATCAGGTGGAGAAAGCACAGTGAGATATTGCTTATTAAATAATTACAGAGCATGGAACTTCCACGTCACAGCCAGTTTCAGAGCCTCAACACTTCACTTTCTTCCAAACTGAGCTGGCAGATGAGTGTGTTGGATTTCTCTGCGAGGGATCATTTTTACACAGCAATTGGAGATAAACATATTTCATTTTGACAAAATCACCCTGTTTGTTCTCCAGATTGATTTTTGCCTTTCTCAAGAGGCACAATATACTAAAAAGAAAAGCAGAGTGAAATGAAAGACGCTTTGGTATCAAATATTGCACAGCTCATTCCAAACACGTGATCCTCTCCTCGAGGCTCAAGCTGGTTTTGCTGATTTCAGGCTGGAGCTCTTGTTTTGATTTCTGCCCAGTGCACGTGGGGCAGTTTGGCCAACCCTGTGAGCCACCAGAGCCACGTCCCAGAGCCTCCCCACAGCCCCAAGCCAGATATCCCACAGCCCTCAGGATGCTGAGAGATCAGCACTTCTGGGAATGGCTCATGGAAAAGCTCTCCAGGATCCCAGAGTGGATCCCACAGGACTAGGCAGGGCATAAGCAGGTTTCCAAAGCCACCCAGTGAGACTGGGGTCAGTCATTCTTCTCCCTCCTGTGAAGAACAGCCCCACAGATTCCCCAGCAGAACCCTGGGGTGAGGGTTTCATCCAAACTGCTGGAGAAGAATCCTTGGTTGGGATGGTGGAGTTTCAGAGACTCCCAGAGAGAGACTGGGAACCGGCTTTCCAAACAAATCAGGCAGCTTTGACCTCTGACCTGGAGGGCACAGATCATGATCTGTCTCTGGGCACGTCCAACCCCAGGGGCAGCAAAGTTTACAGTGAGTTTGCTCAAGAGCAGCAGCTCCCTAAAAACCCAACTGGGAACTGTTGTATCCGGTGCCAGACCTGATCTGTCACTGATAGCCCTTGCAGCTCAGCACCCTGCCCACTGTGGGCACGCTGTCAGCGGGGTCTGTGACGTAAATGCTTGTGCTCGTGAGTTCACTGTTTGCACTCCAAGAGCTGCGACGGGAGGATCCTCTGGGAGTGATTTTAACTGCAGTCAGAGCTAGATTTGGGACTCTATGGAGAGCCTGCTCAAGGTCACGGCTGCTTTCCGGTAAGAAGCCTCTGCAGAGGGCTGGGTGACAGTCGTCACTGGATCTTCGGGGTCTTCACAGCTGGTGACGAGAGCAACAGCACTGAAAGACTTTTGGTTGGAGCTGAATGTCTTGATCTCCAGTGCTGACGACTCTGCTTCTTTCTCCTGTGTCTTCTCGGCTCGATTCCACTCCTGCTCCTTCCGATCCAGCTGCATGGCACTGCAGTGGGGGGCGTACACCTCGGTGGTCTCCTCAAACTGCAAGCAATCCACCTTGTAGTACTTCTTCTTCACGTGCAGGACGTCGTTAAACCTGTGGCCCCAGAGGATCTCCCTGGGCACGTAGGAGCTCCTGGACTGGTGTGAGGTGCCCGTGGAATCGCCCGTGTAGACGAAGGTGACCAAGATCTCAAAGCTGTCCTTGGCCAGGGCCTTCCTGTCCAGGCCGTACAAGGGGCTCTCGCTGTCGATCTCGTGGACCACCGTCACTGGGGTGACGAGGATGATGTGGTCGTTCAGCAGCTTCAAGTCCCTGTACTCCATGGTCATCCTGCCCTCCTTGTCCTCCTTGTAGCGCAGCAGCTGAGCCCTCACAGACCCCTCCACCATGTGGTTGGGCCGGAAGTCGCCGATGCGCCACATGAGGCAAAACTTGCCGTCCCTCAGGCCCACCACGGCGTGGTAGCTGAAGCGGATGGTCTGGGCCCTCTTGCGGGCCGTGGCCATCTTGGCCAGGGCTGCCCCGATGATGAAGGTGTCGATGATGCAGCTCAGCACCGACTGCAGGATCACCGTGAGGATGGCGGCCGAGCACTCCTCGGTGACGCAGCGGTACCCGTAGCCGATGGTGGTCTGTGTCTCCAGGGAGAACAGGAACGCCCCCGTGAAGCTGTGGACGTTGGCCACGCAGGGGGTCACCCCCTCGTCGCCGAACAGGTCCCCGTGCTGGATGGCGATCAGCCAGAACACCAGCCCGAAGAACAGCCAGGAGAGCACGTAGGACAGGGAGAATATCACGAACATGTGGCGCCACTTGATGTCCACCAGCGTGGTGAAGATGTCCACCACGTAGCTTTCCCACTCCCCGAAGATGTGCTTGAAGTAGACGTTGCAGCTGCCATCCTTGTGGAGGAAACGCTTCTGCAGCCTCTTCACCCCCTTCTCAGGCCTTTCCTGGCACGTGCCTCGGTAGCTGATCTTATTTCCCTGGATGCTCACGGGCCTGTAGGAACCGCCCTGGTCCGTCGTCTTCCTCATCTCTGCCTCGTGGCATCAATTCATGGGGCACACTTGAGGTTATTTGTTTTCTTTGTTCGTTGGAAACCTGTGGAACGAAAGAGAGAATTTATTTTCGCTTGAATTTCCTGTGGCAGAACCGTGTAACACCAAATCCAAGCCCATTCACTGCATGGCCATCATGAGTCCAGGCTCTGACATTCATTACAGAACATCCCTCAAAAACACACCTGGAAATACAAGGCAGCAAGAAATAAAAGTAGTTAAAAATGTCCTTGTCAATCCTAATTGATTCTGAAATCAAGAACCTTGGTGGTGACTCCACTATGAGGTTACTCATGAAGTAACCTTCAAATCAGGGTGGGCTCTCCTGAAAAATCACAGGAATCACAAACCTTCTTAAAGTCAGCCAAATATTTGAGGTAGTTAACTGTTGTAATTTTTCTTGTTTTCCTCCACTGGAGGAAATACCTGGGAAAAAAACCTCATTTAGATATAAGACTTCAGTAACACCATAGGCAAGTTCAGTGCTGATGGTTTTCAATCATAAAATACATCAAATACACAATCATTCATCATTATTTTTGTTTCAGTATTGCCCAGAAAAACCTGGTCACGGACATGAACTTTATTGGGCTGGTGCTGCAGAGGGGTATTTGTTCAATTTGTAGAAAATCATTTACATTTCAAATGAAAAAGAAACCTCTCTGGGGTCCTGGAAACCCTCTCGAATCATTCCCTCAGGCAAGCAAAAAAATATCCAGCTGCCAAAAATATTTAAATTTTGAATAATGAATTTGAAACAAACATGCAGCGTATTAATAAAAGTTGGGAATGACACAAATTTTGGAAGTGATGGGAATTAGGAGGTTCCTCTGTCAGAGCAGAGATGAAATGGATGTTGTTGCAGATTGCAACCACATGAACTCGAGCAGTACAAGCTCTGGGCCATATATTTAGTGACTAATTACAAAAGGTTATGTTAGAAATTGGGATCTCATCACCTGGAATCCTGTAAAAAAAAAAAAAAAAAAAAAAAGGAAAGGTTTAGCTGAAATAATAATTTACAGGATGCTTGTGAATTATTCATAGGATACATCACTGAGAAAGGCAAATCCCTTTCCTGCAGATCTCCAGCTCGTTCCAACACATACCAACCTAAACGCTGACCAGTCAGAAGTGATGGGGACACAGCAGAACAATTCAATATTTTTTTTTTGCCAAGTTTCATGCTTGTCACTGATATCTCTGAAGAAAAAAACAAAAACAAAAACAAAAACAAAAACCACTTAATATTTTTGTGAAAAACCTGTCATTATTCTTCCCAAAAATTGCAAGTTTTTGATGGAAAAATGACAAGCACTTTTCCCATTTTCAAGCTGGTTTTGAAGCTTCAGACACAGGTTTCCAGCGAAGCCAAAACATTCATGGAAAATGAATTTAAGAAAAAACCCAACTTTCCTACTGGTAGCTTTTTTTTTTCCCCCTCAGGTCTTCGTTCACTTTGCTGACTATAAATGACTGCACACACTTCTAGGCAGAGGAGAGTCAGGCCCATGGAGTGTAATATATATTGGATGGACTAGATTAACAGACCAAGAACTCTCCTCTCATCCAAGGAACAATGACAAGCATGCAGAGACACCAGTCCAAAAACACTTAAAAGCCAAACATAGTTTCCATTTCTTTTTTTCTTTTCTTTTTTTCTCTCTCTCTTTTTTTTTTTTTCCAGTACAGAAATGAATGTGACATATGGTGTCGTAGCCTCAGAATGTGGCCTTCATTAAAAAACACAACATTAGCGTTTCCAAAAATACTTCTTGGAATACAGTCTTTGGAAACATTCATATGACTTGCTTTACTCATAGCTTTAAACAAACAGTGTAGCCTGGTGTGTTGAAGATGCTTGACCTAACATTTTATAAGTCATATTTAACAACAAACAACAACTGGAAACTGTTGAGTTGTTTGGGTTGTTTGGTTTGTTGTTTTGGGGTTTTTTTTTAAGGACCTCGTAATGTGAGGTGTGAAAATGAAGTGAATATTGAAGAGGAGCCAAGGTGATCTTAAATAAAAAACATCCATAGGCTTCCTCATGAGCAGCAGGGGAGGAGCAGAACCGACCTCTTCTCTCTGGTGACCAGTGACAGGACCTGAGGGAAGGGTCAGGTTGGATCTCAGGGAAAGGTTCTTCCCCCAGAGGGTGGTTTGCACTGACCAGGCTCCCCAGGGCAGTGGGCACAGCCCCAAGAATGCCAGAGCTGCAGGGAGGGTTGGACAATCCCATTTTGGTGGGATGGTTGGGGTGTCTGTGCAGGGCCAGGAGTTGGACTGGATGATCCTTGTGGGTCCCTTCCAGCTCGGGATATTCTCTGATTGCACTGGTTTTCTTCCTGACTGATTCAAACTGAAGTTCCTTGAAAACACTCACAAACGTCTTCCTCTCTCACTCTACTGACACCCACTGACCTCTGAAGACTATAATTGTTGCCAAATTATGGCCAAGGACCACAGACTGACAACCAGACTTATAAACTTCAACCTCAGACCTTCAACCTTTCCAGCTCGTTCTTTTTCCAAAGGGAAATATTTCCCACACCCCCAAGAAAGCCACACAGTTACATTAAAGGTCTGACTACCTGGTAAAGGTTAACAAAGAGAGTGGGGGAGGATTTAAAAGCATTCTCTACTCACTGGAGCTCCTGGATCTGTTGCTGCAAATGGTTCTCAGATGTTGCCAAGAAGCGTTTTCACCTCCCTCTAACGCTGGCACATAAACCCTCCCCTTGTTTTGTCCTGCTTTTACTTTCTGTGAGTTTTTGCTTGTATTTCTGGGCATGTCTGTACACATCAGGAGCCTCCCCTTGCGTTTCAGTACCGTTGAAATTCGCAGTACTTTTGCTAACCGTCCTTATTATTGTATTTCCATCCTCCAATTAAAAGCTTATCGGGAGTAAAAATGGAGCAGGATGGGTAGTAGGGAGACAGAAATAGAGAAATTTCAAAAGATTTCTTCGGGGTAAATGGCAGAGAGGGTTCAGAAGTTCTTTTAAGATATGTGTGTATCAGACTCAGAGTTCAGAAAGTTATTTAATATAATTATCTAATCCAAGGCCATGATCTTACCATGTTGGACGCTGAAACATCTCAGGGAGACACAGAACTGCTCTGGAGACCTGTGTTCCTGGGGTCTGCATATTGACCCCCCAAACTGGTATTCTTTAAAAATTCCACCCCAATTCGAACTGGGAGGAGGAGGGGAAGGGAATTCCTATATTTCAAAGCACAGTGGCAGAAACAGGAACAAACCCAACACCTACTTGTACCCAGTGAGGAGCTGCACAAAGCAAACAGCGGCAGGAGCAGCCCCTTTTATCACATTCATGTTTTCGTCCAGTTCCTCTTGAGTAGAACAGCTGTACCAGAACAACTTGAACTCTTGGTTGTCAGCTCAGAACAAGTCACTTAAAAGCCTTAAACACCAAGTTTAGCCTTTCAAAGACTTTGACTAAATGTAATTGTCAGTCTAATCCTGATATTTTGAGTTTAGGGCTCAGGGTTTTGTGAGGATAATTCCTGTTGCACCTTAGCCTAATACCTAACAAGTTGCTGCTACACCCCTTTTATGACTCTGTTTTCCCATTATGTAAACAATAGGAGTGAATTCTTGTTCAGTGACAACTTCAGTCAACAGCCTGTTTGTAAAACATTAAGCAAAACAATGTGAAGATCTGGGTTCCAGAATAATTCTGTTCTGAGATTAAATCAAAAAGAAAACAACTCCAAAACCTCCACACAGAAATCGGGTGCTCCCTCTAACCCCACACACATGGCAGTGGATGTCTCTCTCTCTCTCTCTCTCTCTCTCTAGTGTTGGTTTAGCAATCACCTCAGTTTCCTCCTGCATTTTGGAAATGGTCTGAAAGATTTCCAGCTTTAGTCATTGTTGTGTAACCCTGGAAGACTTTCAGCTCAGAGGCCAGAAATGTGACGAGTCAAAACCTTCTGAACTGCTTTGGAATCGACCACTTCACCGCAGGACTCCGACAAGCTGTAACACACAGCTCTGCAGGCATCACCTCACAGGTAACACCTTCCCTCTCCAGCTTTTTGCCCAAAGAGCCCTTTCAACACCAGAAGAAAAGGTTGGAAATACAGAAATAAAAGAAAACTTTGGGGGTTGGAACTAGGTGGTCTTTAAGGCCCTTTCCAACCCAAACCATTCTATGATTATAACAGGCTAAACTCAGAGCTGGAAAAAAAAAAAAAAAAGAGTGTCTATTTCTTAGACTTCTTCCTCAATACCCCCATAAAGAGATAAGACCTAAAGTATCAATATCAAAGGGTTTATTGAACATTTTAAAAGGCAGACAGAGAGAGCACAGAGCAGCAGAGCTTTGCACAGACTTTAAAGCCATGCAGCAGTGCTGTGATCTACACTGGAACAACTCACAGCAACAGATATATTGACATTTAATTCATTTAAGCGAAACCAGATCTCCTTAAAACAAAACCAATAAAAAAGATATGAAAGAAGTTTCTCCCCTTAAAGTTAGGGAAGACAGGCTGAAAGTTGCTCCTTGATGAAGGCTGGTGGCCTGTTTTGGAGACACAGGGCAGGTTCAAAGGGAACCAGCCCCCTGCTTACCACTCAGAGCACCTCCCAAAACCTGTAGAAAGCTGCAAATGTCTATTTTAATTTATTTGCACTGCAAGCACTGCATGGTTTTAGCAGGAACAAGCCATGGAAACACTGAAATACCATGAGAAATGGAAAGTGCTGGCAACTTGAGGCTCCTGATTTCGGGCCTCGCTGCCGTTCTTTGTCCCAGACAATTTGGCAGGAGGGAAACCTAAAGCTGTTCACTCTCAGGAGCCTCTTCCTCTTTTTAACCCTCAGCTCTCAGCAGCTCCTGCACCAGGGTGAGCAGCCAGAGCGTGGACTGGGCAGCACAATGCCCAGCTCAGCCCCTCCTGGTGCCATGGTGGGTGGGTGCAGGAGCCCCTGAGACACCCCCCAGAGGTGACCCTGCCCTGCATCCTGCACAGCCCACACCTGAACAGGGCAGCTGGACCCACACAGGGCCA